ATATATTTCTTAGTTTATTTGATCGAACCTCATCCTCAAGTCTTGTGTTTATCCCTCGGGATAAATACAGGATTTGAGGTAGAGCGCTCTTTCATTTAAACTGTGAGAAATATGAGGTCAGTTTGATTTCATATTTTTTCTAAAAATTATACATATATATATGTAAATTAAACGTCCTTCCGAAGCGGGCGACGGGACTTCAGTTCCAGCGACCGACAGCTTCTTACGGGCAACCTCCCCAAACTTTTTAGCTGCCGACAAGTACTTCTAACAAAAATAAATTATTTCCTAATATAATTTCTGACAAACTCTTCCGCAATAATGAAGAGGGATAGTTCTAATGGGTTTCCATATCTATATCCTCATGATGACTTGAACATATTTTTACTCCATTTTATAGAATAGATAGCCAGCCGCTAGCAACCATTGCATGATTGTATTTAATCAGGACGGTGTGAAACCCAAAATGCCTAAGTACTGAAAGAGGAATGAAGTAACTTTACTAACCATTGACGTTAAACCCACAGATAATAAACTAGAGCCTTTAATTCTGCCTATAGATTAATACTGTTTAATTATGTGGTTTACACTATTTACTTTTGTTAGGATCACTTCAGAAACCCAGCTGCCACAACGCTCCCCCCTGCCAAGTGGCAAAAGTTCTCGTCAAACTTAATGGTAATCTATATTATTCTTTCCCTATATACAATTTTATGCACTTGTAGCATGCTGTGTAACCTGATATTGATTTTTTCCCTATGATTTGAGAATTATTAGGTTGTGTTGGATGCATTTGAAGCTCAGCCATTGAGTGATGATGGTGGAAATGTGAATAATCTTGAGCACGAGGAAGCTTCTTTTAACATAAAGTATTTGACAAGCAGCAAACTAATGGGGTTAGAGGTAAATTTAGTTTCATACAGCAAAATAATTGTAATCTTACTTCAAAGAATCTTACAAGTTACCATTTTTTTATCTGCAGCTGAAAGATCCTAGTTTTCGGCGCCATATTCTTGTGCAATGCCTTATATTGTTTGATTATCTTAAGGTGCGCTTGCATTAGATAATTTTCTCTTTTTTTTTTGAAGCAGCTTTGAATTTTGACTTTATCTTATTTTATAGGATGAATTTCTCTAATGTCTTATGATTAGCCACAGTTTCTTTTTTATTAATTAATAACTATTTTTTATTTCCAAACTATGAATCTACTTGTTACTAATTTGAATGTGATTAATAAAATAATTGATTTGGTTACTTTTCTTTTTAATGTGATTGTTAAAAAAATTAATTTATTCAAACTCTAAATGTGGCGCAAATTGTTGGAGTTAAAAATATACAAAAAAATGGTAATCTGATTCAATGTTTCGACTTGATTATTTTATTTTTTTAGCCTATTGGCTAAAAAATAATTTATGTTCAACCATAAAACCTTAATTAAAGTTCCCCTATTTTTTAACTTAATATCTTGCACGTTGCAGTCTTCCACGAAATTTGTGATAGCCTTCTTTTGAGTAGTAATGTATGTTTTGACAGGTTGATCATGTATTGTTTTTGTTGTCTCTCATTAATCTATGCATGAATGTGCCACTTGAGTGTTTGTAAATGAGAATGATTTGTAAAAAAAAAAAAAAGATTTGAGAATTAGTGATAAAGATATAGTTGATAATTTTTAAATCTAGACGAGCAATGCTTTTCTAACCTTGTTCTCCAGTTGAAAAGGTATCATAAATGTTATAATCTTGTAACAAATTGAGCTAAGTTAGATTGTTAAAAATGTGCATTTTGCATTAAAAAGCTAAACGGTTACAAAGGGAAGCACCTAGACATTGTAAATCTAAAAGAGCAAGATTACAATTGGCAGGATTCCAAGTAAAGGAGTTAGAGAAAGACCTCCTAGCAAAAAAATAGGCTGCGTTGTTGTAATCCATAGATATAAAGCAAAAAAGCAAATGTAAAAATGGGGAAAATATTAAGTACGGCAATCGATGTCCGGACGACGGTCTGGATGGGCCGCCACGCGATAAACGGCGGCATGGACGCATCCCGACCATCGTCCGGACGTGCAATCCACCGCACGTAATATTTTCTAGTGAAAATGAGGAGAGAGGCTAAAATAGGTTTGATATTGGGTCAGCCTGCCCATGTAGCTGGCAGCATGGTCTGGCAAAGGAAGTTGATGTCATTCTTGTTGTCCCCCTCAATAACGATGCCTTTGAGCCCAAACATGCACGGTGCAATGATCCTTTCGATAGAGAGGATGATGGCAAGTGCATGAAGGATGGTTGCAGCAATAACCGTTGGAGTTCAAAATGAAGGCCATACTTTTTGACGTTTCTAGCCCTCCACACTTGTTAGACAGCACAACAGTGTAGTCTCCCCTTAACCCCTGATTTTTAGACAATGTGTTGAGACCCGCAAAACTCTCCTCTTCACTCCCAAAAGTAGGAATTAGAATGCCCCATTTCTTAAGAATACTGAAAATCTTAAGTATTAATATGGGTCAAATCGCGGGCGCTGCACAATCCGAGGACAGTGTCATTCCCCATACCTCTTTTGTCAACCAAAACACGCATTCTCTATGGTGTAGACAAAGTTTCTGGTGCCATTTAAATTTGTCAAGAGCAGGTTCAAACTGATTTTGATATCCTGGTGATGTTATGAATCTTACTAAAATGAACAAAAACAAGCTCAATCGGTGAGTGTTTGGAAGAAGCAGTAATGGAGCAGTTTGAGAGTAGCAGAAACATGAGCAGGAAGATGTATGAGCACCATTCGAATTTTATAAAGTGAAAAATGGCTCTGCTAGTGGTTGGACTTTGCGGCATTTACTTCGGATAAACCTTCTGTTTTCCTTCTTTTACAATGCTAAAAATTAACCATTAATTGTTCCTTGCATCCTCTGATCCCTAGCGGCCTAAGGGATTGCGTGCGGCACTTATTGAAGTTAAGAAAATGAATGTAGGGGAACTCATTATTAGGTGATTTAGGCATGTGAAATGGAGGGTAGAAGATAAAATAATAATACTAGCAGATAAAATTAATTTGAAAGAATTAGGAACAAAAAATGATTAGACCAAATGCTATATTTATAAACTTTTGAAAAAAGATTCATATAAATTATACTAAAGATTTAATTGGAATGTATACACAACGTAGTTTAGAGCTGACTCAATATTTGTAATATGGCTAATCATGATGATGATTCTGATTATGGTCAAAACTCTGTTCATCCTATGTGTTAATTGCTGCTAACTGGTTATTAAGGTTTGTTGTTTTACTGTGCAAAATTCTGGAATATAGAAAGTTTAACTTGTGCGGGAAATGTGGTGGTGGAAAGTAATATATTATATGTATAGCACCCGCTGTTCATAGCCTTTCATGATCACGAGCATAGCACTCAAGGCACAGTTAGTCCATTTTGATGGCAATAGTGTGATAACCTTTTTTGGAGCCAAACAACATAGCACAGGAAGGCCACAACACCAAACAAAACATGAGCCTGAACTTTTCATTTTTTTCCTACTCATTCCTTTAGCATTAATACTCTTTCTATCATATTTGAACCTTTTTTTCCAAGAGTTTGACGACAGGAAATCTTTGACCTAGTTTGATTTAAGTTTTTAGCAATCCAGGTTTTCTTGATATAAATAATGAATTAGCAAAATTTCAAATAATGAATTATGTCCACGAATTTTAGTTCAGTCTATATCAATTAGATTTAGAGAAAATGTTAGATTTTAAACGCTGTATGCATTTTTTTTTCTCTCTATGGATTCTTCTCATTCAAAGCTATTTTTTGATTTGGGTATCCAAATACCAACCTCATGTCGGTATGCCAGCTAAAAATATAGGGAATTCACTATTTATATCTGTCTAACCTCTGTTTCACATTATCGAAATGAGTAGCATGAGGTGGTTCACCATTTTTTTTGGTTCTTTTCATCTTTTTTTTGGGTTCTTACTTTTTTTATTTTGTGCAGGCCCCGGCAAAGAGTGAGAAAGATTGCCCCAGTGATAGCATGGTGATAACTGAACTCTCTGAACATTTAATATTTTTTTATTGTAGTTCAGCTTCTATTTTCATTTTTTTAATCAAACAAGCATAACATAACATTACAGTTTGCTTCTTATATTTGATCAAAGAATTTTATGTTTGCAATATTATTTGTTAATGCACGTCGATAGAGCTTTTAATTAGTTGACCGAGCCAGGACCTAGGGTTGCCTATAAGTTTCCATGTGTTTCTGGAGCCTGCTGAAGGATAGAGTTCTCAATAGCTTTTTTGAGTGAGACCAAAGTCCATGAAAGCCAAAAAATTAGGTCTATTGGGTAATGGTCGGTGGAAGCCTTTTGGAATCTATATGAATTTTTGAGTTAGGGTCTGTTTGGGGTAGCTGCAGCTTATTGAATAATCTGCTGATACGCTAGGTGCGGTGACTATTACAAATTTTTATTTTTTTTGAAAAACCAGACCACAGCCAGAAAACTGCTTTCACACTTAGATAGGTACAACAACAACAACAACAACAACAAAGCCTTATACATGAGTTTATAGTAAAATGCTTGATTGAGTTTTTGTAATGTTGGAAACCTATATTTAATTTTTACATTTTCCTTCATGTCACGAAAGGTGTGTACTGGTATTTAATTTGAAGGTTCGAGCTTTCAGCTCCTATTGCGAAAAAGAAAAAAAAACATTTGACTTTTCTCCACACCATGCTTAGTAAGACGTGCGGGTCATATGTAAAAAAAGATGATCAAGCATGCAATTTTTCCATCGTGCTCAGATGGTGAGCATGGGTACTTTAGACGTCAGGGCAATTGGCTTTCTTTCATAGTGTTCTCGCACCTGGGTGTGTCAACAAGACAAGACACAAACATAACTCATTTTTTATTTTTTATTTTTTCGTCATTTTCATTGTTTTCTCTGTTTAGAGAGAGAAAAGAGGGAGAAACAAAATCTTGTAGTTGTCCCTTCAAACTGGATTTAACTTAAAAACTCACGATTGTTTGAACTCCTATTCTCGTTCACAGTCGTTATTCCTATTGATGTCATTTAATGCAAACTTCATCTTCTTTTTGATTCACAAACATCTGGTCCCATCAATGACTTCCTCTCCTTGACACAATGTTATTATCATTGATGCCTTCTCACGCGGGTTCCCGTCGATTTCTCCTTGCTTCGCATGCAACTAGTCCTACCAAAGGCTTCGCCTATGAGCTCTTTTTGTTTTTTCCCTCCTTCACAAATTGCTCGTACCATTGATTCCTTCTCACGGGAGTTACTCTTGTGCCTTCTTTTTTGTTAAGGGTTTAGGTAGGTGGATGCAGAGAAGATGACTTAGAGAACTAAAGTGAGCAGGCACGCGAGGCAAATGTGCTTGAGCATTGGTTTTGTGTGGGTATGGTGATGTGGGAGAGAAGCGTTGGTACACGTGTTATGAGGAGTTGAGACAAATGCATGATTTTTTTTTTGTTATTTTTTTTCTATTATTTAAGTCAAAAGTAGAATTCACTATTTTTTTTTTTGTTGATTGCCCTTTCCTCTTGCTAGGAGGACAACCGCATCGATGATCTTTATGCACTTGACTTTTGAGCATCCAATGATGGCCATTGATGGGCGCCAATGATGGCCATTGATCGGCGCCAACGATGGCCATTGATCGATGCTGACTATGTTTATGTTTGCTCTTACCACAACAAGGTGTTGGCTGCTGGTTGTCCATTAACTACTGACATTTGATGCTCATCTTGTCAATCACTTGATCTTTTTTATTTTAAGAATGACCAATGCAACCATCAATACCATTCATTCTCTCATGATTTCTAGAATTCTTCATCGATTTTCGTTTTACATATCAAATGATCAATATTTGAACATTGTCAGCCAATTATGTTCAATGCTCACTTTCTTGGTCATTTTATCTCCCATATCAAGATAACATCCAAGCCAATTGCTCATCCCTTATTTGATTCTCACTCCAAACCGACTATTGACTGATGTCTGTTGCCTACGAGCCATCGATTTTTATGCTTATTTTCTTGTTCACTCTATTACCCCTTCTATTATCGAGAATCACCAATCCTTTTAACATGATGATGCGAATTTGTTGGATTTTCTTCTACTCATTATTTGATAAAATAATCATGGTTTACTATATTATGTGTTGAAATTTAGAATAATGCGGAATTTCTTTATTGATATGAAAGAGGTTATAAATAACCCTTACATAAATCCTGGAATAAGAAAAAACAAGAAAAAGAATTAACATGAAAGGAAAGATATAACACCTATATGTCTAATTAATCAATTTATAATAATTATTTGAAGATAAAGGAAACAACATGAAATAGTAAAAACTAAAATAAGAAATGATATAAATCCAATCCAAGAAAATAAATCTAAAATAGAAAAGGAAATAGAGTTATATTAGGAAATAAATCTAATCCTCATAACTTCTATCAGGAATAAATCATTTCCTAATATAACTTCTAATATTCCCCCTTAAGTTGAAACATAGTTGAAAACCATTTTTAATTTGGATTTGAAAATATCAAACAGTGGGCGAGGAAGATTCTGTGAAGTAGAACTTGAAATCTTCATCCCATATTGCTGTCTTCTTTGACTGCAGCTTCTGCAGTGTCTGTAGGTAGGCGAAAGACTCTTACGGGTAATGTTGCAGGCGAGTTTGTAGGATATTAGACAACCTGCAGTAAAAACTGACTTCTAATTGACTACGTCTGGTGCATTTTCGAAATGCCACTGCATCAAATAAGCTGCCCCAAACGGGCCCTTAGTGGCGATCTGCCGCAATCCTTTTAACATGATTACATGAGTTTATAGTAAAATGCTTGATTGAGTTTTTGTAATGTTGGAAACCTATATTTAATTTTTACATTTTCCTTCATGTCACGAAAGGTGTGTACTGGTATTTAATTTGAAGGTTCGAGCTTTCAGCTCCTATTGCGAAAAAGAAAAAAAAACATTTGACTTTTCTCCACACCATGCTTAGTAAGACGTGCGGGTCATATGTAAAAAAAGATGATCAAGCATGCAATTTTTCCATCGTGCTCAGATGGTGAGCATGGGTACTTTAGACGCAGGGCAATTGGCTTTCTTTCATAGTGTTCTCGCACCTGGGTGTGTCAACAAGACGACACAAACATAACTCATTTTTTATTTTTTATTTTTTCATCATTTTCATTGTTTTCTCTGTTTAGAGAGAGAAAAGAGGGAGAAACAAAATCTTGTAGCTGTCCCTTCAAACTGGATTTAACTTAAAAACTCACGATTGTTTGAACTCCTATTCTCGTTCACAGTCATTAATCCTATTGATGTCATTTAATGCAAACTCCATCTTCTTTTTGATTCACAAACATCTGGTCCCATCAATGACTTCCTCTCCTTGACACAATGTTATTATCATTGATGCCTTCTCACGCGGGTTCCCGTCGATTTCTCCTTGCTTCGCATGCAACTAGTCCTACCAAAGGCTTCGCCTATGAGCTCTTTTTGTTTTTTCCCTCCTTCACAAATCGCTCGTACCATTGATTCCTTCTCACGGGAGTTACTCTTGTGCCTTCTTTTTTGTTAAGGGTTTAGGTAGGTGGATGCAGAGAAGATGACTTAGAGAACTAAAGTGAGCAGGCACGCGAGGCAAATGTGCTTGAGCATTGGTTTTGTGTGGGTATGGTGATGTGGGAGAGAAGCGTTGGTACACGTGTTATGAGGAGTTGAGACAAATGCATGATTTTTTTTTTGTTATTTTTTTTCTATTATTTAAGTCAAAAGTAGAATTCACTATTTTTTTTTTTGTTGATTGCCCTTTCCTCTTGCTAGGAGGACAACCGCATCGATGATCTTTATGCACTTGACTTTTGAGCATCCAATGATGGCCATTGATCGGCGCCAACGATGGCCATTGATCGATGCTGACTATGTTTATGTTTGCTCTTACCACAACAAGGTGTTGGCTGCTGGTTGTCCATTAACTACTGACATTTGATGCTCATCTTGTCAATCACTTGATCTTTTTTATTTTAAGAATGACCAATGCAACCATCAATACCATTCATTCTCTCATGATTTCTAGAATTCTTCATCGATTTTCGTTTTACATATCAAATGATCAATATTTGAACATTGTCAGCCAATTATGTTCAATGCTCACTTTCTTGGTCATTTTATCTCCCATATCAAGATAACATCCAAGCCAATTGCTCATCCCTTATTTGATTCTCACTCCAAACCGACTATTGACTGATGTCTGTTGCCTACGAGCCATCGATTTTTATGCTTATTTTCTTGTTCACTCTATTACCCCTTCTATTATCGAGAATCACCAATCCTTTTAACATGATGATGCGAATTTGTTGGATTTTCTTCTACTCATTATTTGATAAAATAATCATGGTTTACTATATTATGTGTTGAAATTTAGAATAATGCGGAATTTCTTTATTGATATGAAAGAGGTTATAAATAACCCTTACATAAATCCTGGAATAAGAAAAA